CCTCAGGCCCGCGTGAGGAGGCCATGCTGTCTAGGTCTGCTGACTGCTCCCTGCCTGTGCCTCACCTACACTGACCTGGTCGTCGCTGCCAGCACACCCAGGCTCCTCAGTCAGAAGCCAGCTGACCTCCCCACACGGTTAGCAAGTCCTGAACATCTCAGCCAGGCCACTTCTTACCTCCTCTGCTGCTGCAGCTGCCCTGACTCCCAGCAACAGCCTGAGATCTTGTCCCTCGACCACAAAAAGCGTTCTGGTCTTCCAGCTGCAGTGAGATTAACTTGTGGATTACCCACACTGGCTGACCACTCTGGGACTAGGCTCCCAGCTTTCCAGCCTCGTCACTCACCCCGCCCAGCCTGTTTCCTTGCTTCCTGTGCTGGGGCTCACTTCCTGGGTACTTTGGGTACCCAGGTTTTCTTAGCTTCCATGTCTTGGTGTTAACGAGTCTTCACTTACATTTTCCTGCCACTGGATCATGCCACAGCTACCCCTTCACCCAGGACCAGGTCCCCAAGGAGACCCTTGTGCATGCCTCTGTGTGTCCTCTTGAGTTTGTGCCATAGCTGGGCCTTCTGCCTGGCTGTCCTTCAAAGCTGTTTGCCACTGATTCCTTTTGACCCTCTGCCCTGCTGTATGTCATGTCTGTGAGGACAAGTGCCATGTATTTCTTACCACTCCTGTCCCCTCTCAGGCCAGGATAGAACCTGCCACATGGTAGGCAGTGAGCAAATATGTGGTGAGTGAATCAAAGTGGACCCCCTGGGGCTGGTGAGATGGCTCAGTGGTCTAAAGCACCTACTTGGAACAAGCTTAGCAAAGCAAAGGGACCGCGGTTCAATCCCCCAGCACCACATGCCATCAGCCCCGCCCCCAGGTGGGCTGAGCTGGCCACACACACACACACACACACACACACACAAATACAATTTAAAAAAAAACCAAAGTGGACCCCCTGCCAACATCAAAGTCCCTAGGAAGATGAGCTGAGATGAGAAACAAGCCAGCTGGAGATGAGACAGACCATTCACCCTCTGGGACACCCAGAGAGGGTAGCTGCGCTGCTCCTCCCAGGGCAGGGTTGTGCTGGGAGTGAGCCTGGGCTTGCTGGGCAGATGCCCTGGTCAGGATGTTCTGGGGAGGCACCAGCTGAGTCGGGCACATCAGATAAACCATGTGGGCGCGCCACTGGGTGTGATGGAAGTCGCCTCGCCTCAGAATCCCATAGATCTGGTTCCTTCCTGCCCAGGAAACAGCTCTGCTTTCCCAGCTCTGTGGCACAGCTTTCCATTGTCCCTCAGATTCCCACGCCTGGAACACCCCTCACCCACTCACTTTTACCCACTCACTTCAGATTCTATTGTTTACCCCAGCAGGGGCACTGCTCCCACCCCTGGGCGGCCTGCAGACCTTAGGGCTCTGCCCTCCAGTGCGGGAGAGGGAATGGATTTTCAATGGAGGGGTGGGGATGGCTGTGTGAACTGCTTCACACCAAGACGTATTTATAAGCTAGACTAGTGTGAAATTACAGTGGCATGGAAATTTCTCAAGATTATTTAAGTGCTCAGGACATCAAGTCCTAATGGGAGAGAGCAAGAGTTACATGCTTTGTTTGGCTTTTGAGACAGGTCTTACCGTGTAGTTCAGTTCAGGCTGGCCTTGAGCTCACTGTGTTGTAGCCCAGCCTGGCCTCAAACTCACAACAATCCCTGAGTTCATGGTCAAATCTCTTTGTTTATTTGCTTGTTTGTTTTTGAGCTAGGGTCTCACTATTTAGATCACCCTGGCCTGGAATTTACCATGATCTGCCTCAGCCTCCTGAGTGCCTGGATTACAACCAGGTGGGAATTTGCCCACATGCACGCTTCGATCGTAAGGACAGACTTTCTCCGCATTGAGCATGTTTTCCTTGTATCAGCTCTTCCCAAAGCTTGCACACCACAGCTTGTCAAGCACTGATTTCTCCCAAAGAGGAGGAACCATCAGGCTTCACAGATCCTCCCAGAAAGAGCTGTTATTCCCAGTGTTTTGGGTTTCTGATTCCACCCCACCCGTCTCTGCATACTGTCTGTGGTGTGGGCAGGGCCCCGCGGTGGAGGAATTCATTCTTTGGTGAGAGATAGCCACAGAGGGCATCTCATCTGACAGGCCTGACCATAATCCTGATTCCTAGCCAGACCTGTAATGCCAGCACTCTGGAGGCTGAGAAAGGCAGATCACTGAGTTCAAGGTCATCAAGACGGTCTCAAACTAGTCATGGTGACATTCTCCTATAATCCCAGCCCTCTGGAGAGTGAGGTAGGAGAATTTGCCATGAGTTCAAGGCCAACCTGGGTTCCATACTGAGTTCAAGTCCGGTCTGTACAGTTCTGTAATACACAGCAAGACCTTGTTTAAAAAAAAAAAAAAAAAAAGTCAAAAAGTATTCTAATACCTAATAATGACAGCTGAGGCCCTGCCAGGTCTTTGCAGATCTTAATGCGTTACTACCACCAACCCTTACAATACCTGCAGGGTAGCCCTGGCCACCTGCCTTGAGCAGACTGAGAGTCCCCAAGGAAGATCACCTGCTCAAGCCAGCTCGGATGGCGGGCCGGGAGGGATGGCTGCCCACCTGACCCAAGTCCTATCAGCATTCATAGGTGACAGCAAGGGTGGGATGGAGCAGAGTTCTGTGCCACCCACCAGCAGCTTCCAGCCACACAGCAGGAGCTTCCCCCATGCAGCTCCGAAACCTCCAGAAATGCAGTGTTGGCCCTTCTATTCCGGCACAGAGATAGCACGGAGCCTGGGATGAGGACTCGTTCAGTGGAGCAAAGCAAGCCCTTCCATGGCCTCCCTGCTTCATCTGTGAAAAGTTCCTGATTCACCTCTGGGCAGGTAGGGGAGGTTAGACCTGGGAACTACAAGAGGGCAGGCTTGCTGTCCTGGGAGATAGATAGGTTTTGCTTCCTTACCAGCAAGATCCATTGCCCTGTATCTTACTTCCTGCTTCCTGCTCTGGGTGTTTCTGGAACAATCTCAAAGTCATTTAACATGGGGATTTCCCCAGGACTCACTCTCTGAAAAGAGACTGCTTTTCTCTTCCTTTTTTCGAGACAAGCTGGCCTGGAACTCACTTTATAGTGATATAAATCCTTGGCTGGTCTCGAATTGGTGGCAACCCTCCTGTCTCAACCTCCCAAGTGCTGGGATTATAGGTGTGCATCAAAAAGACTGTTTTTGTTTGCTTTTCTCTTTTCCCCAGGGGACCAAGGAAGCAGGATATGTCAGAATCCACATGAGTTTTGTCTTTTGGGGGGCAGATAACAGGAGACACCATGGCAGGAACCCCTGTGAAAACTAAAAGAGGAAGGTGGTTCTTGTTTCCCTCTCACAGCTCCGCCCTGCATGTGGATGCGGGTAGGAGAAGCTGCACCCTGGGGCTGCCTGCAAAAATAGCAGTGTGTGACCAGCCCTATCCGACCCCCACCCCCAGCAGACCGGGCAACCTAGCCACACTAGTTCTGTTCTCCTGCCATTCCAGACCCCAGTTCTTCCACTCTGCTCTTCTCTCCCCTGCTCCTGAAAGGGCAGTTTTTGTTTGGTTGGTTTTGTCGGAACTGGGGACTGACTGAACTTGCCAGGCAAGCACTTATTGTACTGAGCCGTTTCCCCAGCCCCAAAAGGGCAGGTTTGGTGTGATGGTGTAGGCAGGACAGCCTACAAGACCCTTCTGGGACTCTGAGCCTAGAAAAATCCACAGCCTACACACTTGTTGAGCACAGATCTTCAACAGATATCCCCTCCCTTGTCCTGAAACCTACAATGCATATCAAAACGAGCCAGGCACAGGGGCACACACCTGTGATCCCAGCATTTTGAGAAACTGAGGCAGGAGGGTTGCAAGTCTAAGTCCACCCTGGGCACTATAACAAGATCTTTTGGAAATAGGGCCTCATCAGTTCAGGTTGGCCTTGAACTCATTATGTAACCCTAGCTGCCCTCAAATTCATGATGACCCTCCTGCCTCAGCCTTGTCTCAAAATTTTAAAAAGAGCTGTGGCAGGGGCTGGGGAGATGGCTCAGTAGAATAAGCGCTTGCCTGGCAAGCACAAGGGCCTGAGTTCAATTCCCCAGTTCCACACACAAAAAAAAAGAGCTGTAGCTATAGCTTATTGGTTATAGCTTATTGGTTATAGCTTAGTGAGGCTCTGGCTTCAACCCCCAAGGTAGCAAAAAGAAACATACTTCATTCTGGTCTGACTCCAGGCTGGGTGCAATGAAATCTGAGAGGCAAGAGAGGAAGGAGGCCCCGCCTTTGTAGCCTCCTACACTCACATCCCCTGCTAGGTGGAAACGGAAGGGAATGGATTGTGAGCTCGCCTTTGGAGTCCCCCTCCTTACTGGGGCGGAGACGCACACCCCAGCCTTCTCCAAAGCCTAGGCCAGCCTTCCCCACTCAGCATAGGCATGGCCACCAGGGGGCGCAATCACCTCTCAGCCCTGCCGTAAATGCGTCTTTTCTCCTAGTGAATGTATATTGCTCTGGGCTGGCATTTGAGAACTGCTGGAAAAGTGTGTTGGGGGCGGGGGGCGGACAGGGGACAGGCCGGCAGGTTCTGTGCCCTTGAGTGGGGGGAGGGGAGGCAGAGAACTAAGAGCAACAGTCAAGAGAGGGGTGCTGACCAGGAAGGGGAGGCAGGGAATGGAGGAAGGGCTGGGAGGGGCTGATCTGTCCCTGTTCTCCAGGAAGGACCAAGGCTACAGTCAGTGGCCATCTTCAGACCTGCAGCTAAACCTACCCTTAGGCAGACTTTGGTCCTGTGGACTCTGTGTGTTTGTGGACATATCCCCCAGCAGCCTCTTGTCCACTTTTCACTTAACAGAGACCTGGAGAATTCCACCCCCTACCCCCGCACATCCCTCCAGGGAGCTCAGGACAAGCAGGTTTGCAGTATTTATTGAGCATTGCAGGCGCTGGCTATGCAATGGGGAGCGAGGCGGTAGAGCTGTGGGGCTAGGCAGGGTACACATCTGCGGCGGGCAGTGAGGCAAGATGGAGAGGAGCCAAACCTGATGTCAGTGGGCTACTCAGCTGCAGGCCCCCTGCAGAAGTTCCGGTTATAGAAGTGGCGGTTGTCCCTGGTCAGGGCTGTGCCCAGCTGGGCCCAGAAACTTCCCTGACCCCTGGGCTGCTGAGGCCAGAAGAGGACGCTCTGGTGGCAGAGGCGCTGGCGCAGCCGAACATAGCGGGAGCGGTGGGCATCAGGGCTGAGGATTACCAGGACCACGATGTCCTTGCGGTCCTCCAGCAGGCGCTGCTGGGCCAGCAGAAAGCTGGTGCGCAGGAGGCCGCTGACCCGATCAGTGTGGGCCAGCACAAAGAGCGTCTTGCGGCTGCCATAGATAGAGGCCCAAAGGTTCTCAAAGAGCGTCTTGCCAGGCACCCAGTCCCGCTCCTCCAGGCACAGGCGCAGCGCCCGGCGCCCACGGCGCTCCTCCAACTGCACCCGCAGCTCATGGTACACCCAGTCAGCCACTGCACCCTGTGCCTTGTCGAAGACCACGAAGGCATCATAGGGCAGGGGTTGGGCACCGCGGGGGCCCCGCCGGGGCAACCAGGTAAGACCCAGGTGAAAGCAGTACCAGAGGTCCCAGCCAAGGAGGTGCTGTAGCACCGGCACCACCACACCGAGAGTCACCACCAGGATCGAGAGGCCAAAGCAATCCCAGGACAGAGCCTCATCCAGACAGAGGCGCAGGTCCTGTGTGAAGATGCTGCGGCCCTGGAGCTGTTTGGGGCTGCCGCATTTCACCTGGTTGGGGAGGCCAGGCACAGCGTGCTGCACCTCCAGCAGGAAGTCCACGAAAGCCGCCCCACAGGTGCAGTGGAGGGGGTTGGCGCTCACATCTAGGACTTTCAGGTTGCCTGCCAGCATCCCAAACCAGGAAGATTCAATTGTCTTGAGAATGTTGTCACTGAGGTTGAGCACCTGCAGCTCAGCAGCCAGTGCAAAGAAGCCTGGGGCCACAAAGGTGATGCTGTTGCTGCTGACATCCAGACTGCGCAGCTGTGTCCCATTGGGCAAGGTGCCATTGGTCAGGGCCTTCAGCTGGTTTCCTGCCAAGTCCAGGATCTGCAGGTTGGGTAGGAGGACCAGGCTGCTCCAGTTAAAGAAGGCCAGGTAATTGTCACGGAGACGCAGAAGTGTCAGGTTTTTGGGGAGGTTGTCCAGGTTGCGGGGCAGAAGAGTGTGCAGGCTGTTCTGGGACAGGTCCAGCCAGCGCAGGCTTTTTAGGCCTTGGAAGAAGTGGAGGTAAAGGTCTCCCTCTGCCCACATGCTGCTCACAGTATTGCCACTAAAGTCCAGCTTCCTCAGGGAGCTGCTGCAGAGCTTCGGGTTCACACGGCTGTTGATACCATTGTGAGCCAGGCTGAGGTACTGCAGTTTATGCAGCCGGGACACAAAGCTGAGGTTGTGGCCTATGCCCTGCATGCCAAAGGGCTGGCTGTTGTAACTGAGGTCCAGGGCTATTAACTGCGGCAGCTCCGTGAATGAGTGCCCGTGATACAGGTCCAGTTTGTTATGGGACAGATCCAAGATCTTCAGACTGGTCAGTGGCTGGAACTGTGAGCCATTGACAGCTTGCGCAATGCAGTTGTGGCTCAGGATCAGACACTGGAGGCGGGAGAGGTTGGTAAACATCTCAGATTGCACTGTCACCAGGTTGTTCCCAGACAGGTCCAAGGTGAATGGGAAGCGCTTGCAGCTTGGCATGAAGATTTCCGACTTGGGGGTGTCCAGTGGGGCTGGAGCAAGGTTCTCAGGCCCCAGCCAGACCCGGTTCTCATTATCCGCTTCCCCAAGAGCCTTCGCCAGGGCCGAAGCCCCACTGATACGATTACCTGACAGGTCCACAAAGCTAAGGCTAGGGAAAGCCCCAAAGATGCTGATCTGGGCCTGGTTGATGAAATTCATCTGCAGATTCAAAGTCTTGAGCAGAGGCAGGTGGGTCAGCGGCTTCAGAGTGCTCTCACTGAGGGACCGGAAGAAGATGCCATTCATGTTTAGCTCCTGTAGGGAGGTCAGCTTCCCAAAGGAGGCTGCCAAATGTAGGTGGGCAAAGGACACTCCTTTGCGGTAATTGAAGGACAGGTTGAGTTTGCGCAGCTGTGCCAGACCCTGGAAGGCCTGGGTTTTCGTGATGCAGTCGTAGAGGAAATTCTCGCTCAGGTCTAGCACTGTGAGATTCTCCAGACCTTGGAACCATCTGGCTTCCAGAGTGGGGAGGGAATTATCCTTCAACACCAGGCCTTCGAGGTGGCTGAGCTGCCTGAAGGTGTCAGGGTGCAGCTGGAGGGTTTTGGTAAGGCACTCCACACAGGGGTTGCGGGCATGGTCACAGCGGCGACAGTTTCCACCCACATCGAGCACTCGAAGGGCAGTTAAGTTGGCCAGGTCTCCCGGATCCAGCTTAAAAATGTGGTTATAGGACAGCAGCAGATACTCCAGACTGGGCGGTAGGTCTCGGGGCAGTGTCGTGAGATTGTTGTATTTGAGTGACAGGTGGGTGAGATTGCTCAGCCCCAGGAGGGCCCCAGGGACCACCTCCACAGCCCAACTGCATGGGTTCTTATAGTAGCAATTGCCGTCCATGAAGAGGGTACGCAGGGCATGCAGGCCAGTGAGGCTGGTGGAGTCCAGCACCAAGATGTTGGTGTGGCTCAGGGTCAGGTTCACAAGGGAGCTGGGGAGGGCAGGCACAGTGGTGATGCCATTGTAGCTCAGGTTCAGATCCTCTAGGGCAGGCATGGCTAGGAAGGTCTTGGGCTCGATGGTCATGTGGCAGGGGAAGTGCATGGGGCTGAGGCCAGTTGGTGGGCAATTCCACTTAAGGTTGAGACGCCGAAGGTTGGGCAGGTGGAGGAAGTCAGAGTTATGGAGGTGGTGGATGCGGTTGGAGAGCAGGAAAAGGCTGGTGACGTTGCCACGCGGGGCTGCTGCAGAGAAGCGGGGCACGGACTTCAGGAAGAGCCAGTTGCAGTTCACCACACCATGGGGCTGGAGCTCACAGGGCAGGAAATCAGGCAGCGTGCCCAGGGCCAGGGCCTCGGCCAGGACCACAGCCTGCACCAAGAGGGACAGGGAGTACGGGGCCCTTCGGCAGGAGCCCTGTGGGAGCCAGAGGCTGTGTGAGTGTCCACCACAGCTCCACCCAAACCCTGCTTCCCTTGGGGGTCTACATTGGCCTGCCCAGCCCCTCCACCAGCCCTCCACTACTGTTCTTCCCTCTTTCCACCCTCTCAGTGCCATGGGGAGCCTCAATTTTATATCCCACTCAGTCTCCTGATTCTGTGGACTCAAAACCAGGACTGAGCCTATAATACAGAGTTGTGATTTCACACACAATCAAACCCCAGCCTAATCCACTTTCTTTTCCTCTCCTTAGGGACCATTAAACCTTTTCCTTCTAAACAAAGCAGCAGTTGACTGAGACCCCATCAGAGATGAGACTCCTGCCGTGGTCCAGGATGATTTCAACCCAGGGCCCCATGGAGTGCACACTGTCCAACCCCTTCCTCCTCTGCCTTCCTCCCTCTCCTAGCTTTCTTGGGTCAAAACAAAGAGCAGAGCCCACAACCTCAGGTCCTGGGCCTCAGGCCTTTCAGCCACCAGCCTCTTTGACCTCTCTGTTCTGGTGTCTTCAGGGCTCAGTGAGTGTCCTCTGGGCCATGGGGTGACCTTTTCTTTTGCTGTTGCCTGCAGCTGCTAGGCCCACCTCCCTCCTTGCCCCTCTGACATCGGACATCTTCCCCCTTTCCAGGGGCCTGAGGGCTATTATCCTACCATGTCAGGAGGTGGGGGCTTCTCCTGAGGGTCTCGCCAGTAGACTGGGCAACAACTGCAGGGAAGGATGCTGCAGAAAGCAAGTAAGTGCTTGTCCTTTCTGAGAAGAGAGGAAGTGAGAGTTCCTGCCAGCCCAGCTACTTTCTCCTCGCCCGCCTCTGGGGAGGGCTGGTAGTGTGCAGTGAGTCAGATGACAGACAGCCCCTTCACCCCTTCCTCTTTCCACTCTCCCCCAAGACAGCCAAGGCCCCCAGTGGGCCTCACATGTGTTCTCAAAGGCTAGAGCCTGCTAAGGTCCGTGAGCATCTGGGCCTGAAGCTCTGTTCTCACACCCTGCAGACCTGGTCCAGTGGCACTGACACCCCTGCCAGCTCCTCGCTGTCCCAAGAGGACTGCCTCACCCTTAGGCCTCAGCCCCCTCAGGGTAATGACCCTCCCACTCCTCCTTTCCTGTTCGCCAGAGCCCATCACAGAGCTCTGTATGGCCTCAAGGGCCTGGTGGTGGGCGGTGCAGGTCCCTTCCAGGGCAGGGCTGACACTCAGAGGAACCAAGACCTGGTCTTGCCCAGGCTCCTGAGGCTGCTCTTCCCCATCCAGCTCTTCCTGAGTTCCTGGCCCCAAGCGTCAGGGTGCCCTAGAGCCCTGCTGGGTTCTGCTGGCTGCCTTAAGAGTCTGCCCAGTCCCTGCCTGCCACTTCCACTTTACTGGCTGGCTGAGCAGCCTGGCTGCCCGCTCCCACCCCCAGCGCAGCCTCTTTGCATCCCACCCCTGGAGGGAGCTGTTCGGCCCTGTTCTGTGGATCCCTCCTCTGCTAGAACTCTCTGTGGGTCACAGTCACAGGCCATGTAGTGGCCAAATTTCTACAGAACTTGCCCTTATCTGCAGCCACACTGGCCTGGTTGTCGCTGGGACACATACCTGCACCCCTTGCCTCAGGCCTTTGAGCCTGTTCTTGCCTCTGCCGGGAATCTCCTTCTCCAAGTCTCTGCATGTCACCCTTTCCTCCAGGGCTTCCCTGACAATTCTCTAAATTCAACTGCCACCCCCCGATCTGCCTCTCTTGAGCCCTTTTGCCCATTTTCTGCTTTACGTGTTTTTAATCACTGTCACACGGTATTGTTGACCCTTCATGGTCACTGCAGATTGCCTTATTCCCCTGCTTGAATGTCATCCTGAGAGCCAGATCTGGTCTGTGTCCCTGAAAGGCAGTGCAGCTCTTAGCGCACAGCTGTGCTATATCTGCTGAAGCCACCGGTGCCTGGCACGCGGCTCTAGGCTGGCACTGAGAGAGCATCCCAGTGGAAGTTGAATGAGTGAATGAACAAATGCGGCTCCTGCTGGGAGCAGGCAGGGTCGCACATCTGCCTCCCCTCGTCCCCAGCCCACCTGAGTGGGTGTCAGAGCCAGCAGGCTCCCAGGTGCCAGCCATCCAGATGGCTTGGCAGCTGCCCACTGAGAGCCGGTGTCTGGAGTGTGTAAGGCCGAGCCTTCCCTAGGGCTGAGCTAGGGCCTCAGCTCTCCTGACAAGCTCAGGGCTTCAGTAGGACCTGAGGGAGGCCCTGTGGTTGGGAGGGATGGGACACTGCCTGAGTTAGGAAGAAGGCCAGTGCCCCACCCCCGCAGGAGTCAGGAGTCATCAACCACACACTGCACCCATCTGGACACAAGTCTTCACCTACTTCTTAGAGGTGTAGACAGAAGCCTTGGCACCTGCTAAAGCCCAAGCCTAGGACAGACTTCCAGAATCTCCAGTTTGCCTCTCCAGTGTTACTCTGCCTCCCTTAGGCAGGAAAACAGGTCTGGAGAAAGGCTAAGGCACTGACAAGAGACATGCAAAACACACAGAGGTGTGTGTCCCAGACACAAATGCAAACACATGCTCATGGATGGACACACACGGCGTGGAGGCATCCAGACAGCCCCATAGGGGTTGGAAACCCAGCGAAGAACCCTCATCCAATGTGGTTGGCTGAATAATGCTTAGTAGAGACCCATGTCCTAACCCTTTGAACTTGGTCATTTTGGGCTTTCTTTCCTCTTTGCATTTTCTTCCTTTATGGTATTTGGCATTGAACCAGCACTGAGTTACCTTCCCAGCCTAAATTGCTCAGGCTAGGCTTCAACTTGCAATCCTCCTGCCACAGCCTCCCACAGAGTTGAATTAAAGACTAGTTTCCTTATATGGAAAAAGAAACTTTGAGGCTAAGATCTAAATTAAGGATCTCAGTATAAAGCATTATCTTGGATCACTGGCAGGGGAGTGGTAGGTACTTAGAGAAATGTGACTTCAGAAGGATGGGAGCCATGACCCTAGGAACAGAGAACTGGACAAGATACTTCTGACTTGGAAGATGGAGGAGCCCACAAGCCAAGGAATACTAGCAACCTCCAGAAGTGAGGAAAGCATGGAAGTGTTTTTTGTTTTTTTGGTGGTACTAGGGATTGAACTCAGGACTTTGCGCTTGCCAGGCAAGCACTTATTCTACTGAGTTATCTCCCTGGGGCCTGGAAGTGGATTTTTATGAGGCCTCTAGAAGTTAGCACTGCCAATAGCTAGACTTTAGCTCTGGAAAGTCTATTTCCTAGGAAAGAAATTTCCTATTTCTGGCTTCCGTAACTGAACAATAGTAAATTTATGTTATGTGGGTTTTCTTGAGACAGGGTTTCACCACATTGCCTAGGCTGGTCTTGAATAAACTTGTTTTTTTTTTTTAAAGCCGCTATTTGTGGTCATCTGTAACAGCAGCCACAGGGAATAAGACACCCAGATCCCACGTGATGCTAGAGGTGTGCTGGCCTCTCACCCTCACACATGGAAACCACTTCTCCCACACTGTGGCCAAGAGCACAGGCCAGTGGTCCGCTTTCGAGCTGGAGAAGGTCACCCAATTCCCAGGCCAGAGATGGTTCCCTGGGGCCAGACTCAAGGACTGATTTAAAAATATTTTATTCTTTAGAAAATACAGCATTCAACCATCCTGTCTTGCAGTGACCCCTGCTGCAGCCCAGCATACACCACCCACTGTGGCAGGAGCTTCTGGGCTATGCTGGGACCCCAATCTCAGGTTTATGCCAAGCCCCCAATTCAGGCACCTTGACCCAGCCAAGGAGGGTCCTAGGCACCCTGGGCACACATGAGAAGCAGGGACAGCAACAGGGAAGGGTCACAAAATGCTGGCCCAGTGGCCCCTGAAAGCTGCAAGTGTTCAGCCAACAGCCCCCACCCTGCATTCAGCACTTCCCTGAAGTCCAGGCTGGGAAGGAGGGAGGTACAGGGAGCCAAGGAAGACCACCACAGTCCACACACCAGCCTGGCTCTGTCTGGCCACCTAGCTGTCATCTCCATTCTCACCAGGGCCCCGGATGAGGCGCTTGTGGCCTCGTTTTCCCCCAGGGCCCTTGGGCTTGGCGAAGGCCTGCTTGAAGGCATGCTGCTTGGGGTGGACCTCATCGTAGAGAAATTCAGCTGTCAGTTCTGCCCCATCGCCAATCTCAATCTGTGCAGGGTGAAGAGTCTTGTCATACACTACCCGCAGTAACCTCTACCACCAGGGCCCCCCTTGGTCTCTCTTAACCAGCTCTGGAGGCCTTCAGAACCCCACCTGGGATGCTACCCTCAGGAACACAGAGCCTGAGGCTTGCTGTTTCATCTCCCGAGTCACCCCCTTCCTGCCCCCCAGACCCAGGGGAAGGAGAAATGGCAGCTAGGGCTTGGGCTCTTCTGTGCCACCTATTGGCTGGGCAGCCTTGGGTCCAACAAGGCAGCAAAGAGTCAAGGAGTTTTGCTCTCACACAAGACTCCAATGCTCACAGGGAGGCTGGGGTGATGAGCCCTGGGGATGAGTACCCACCTTCTTGGAGATCTCCAGCTGGAAGTCCTGCTCTACGGAGTCAAGAAGGCGGCTCTTGCAGCTAGAGTAGAGCATGCGCTCCTTGATGCTGCACTTGTAGCCCGGCATGGAGTAGATGAACACTATGGGGTGAGGTGGGGGTGGGGTGAGCTGTGCACATGAGGAACTTGGAGACTTCCACCCACCCAGCATCAGGCTGGTGCTGCTCCTGGCCAGCAGAGCCCAAGCTGCAGTGGTCACTCACCTACAGACTCAAGAGAGTCACCCTCATGGGTGTGCTTGTAGAGGAAGAAGTGATAGCGGGCAGCATCCCGGGGTACCCGGGAGGGCAGCTGGCCCATGTCTGTGGGCTCTGTATGCACCAGCTCTATGGTCTCCCGCTCCAGGTCCAGCTTCTATGGAGGGGCAGAGGCAGATATGAGGGTACCCTTCTACCTGACAGCAACCCCCAAAGCAGGACGGGCTGGCAGGCTGGCATCTCCTCCCTGTGCCATCTCTCTGTGGGATCCACATCCCTCTTCTGAAGCATCTAAGCCTGCCCTAGGCTGCCCCTTTGCAGGTTCTGCTGGAGGGGGGGGTTGCCCACCAAGGAGAGTGAATGGGGCTGTGTGAAAGGTCTTGGTCTCGGGGAGGCACTGCCCTGGGCCAGCTCCTTCTTAGAGGTGAAGCCTCCAGGGGGAAAAGTCATTCTGCTTGGAGGGACCCCATGGATCACCGGTGCAGGATGCTGCCTGAGAAGAGCAGGCGGCCAATGGGTTGCTGCACAGGGAATTTGGGATGGGAAGGGTTCAGTGTGCTCAGGATTAAGGGTTCAGTGTGAACCCAAGAGGTGAGGAATAGGACCTTGTGCTCACAAGAATGCCTATGTGGGCAGGGCTGGAAACAGGAGGGCAGGCACATTCACACACCCAACACAGGACATAGAGGGCTTGGGAGGACAGCGTGCTGTCTGAGTCCACAGATTAGCTGAGCAGTTAGGCTGGCGGGGAGAGAGCTCTATGGCCATGGGCACATGGGCAGCAGGAGACGCAGCAGGGCAGTGTGGCCGACAGGAGTTCCACAGGAGGCCTGAGCACCCACCAGCTGGATGTAGTTGATGGTCTTCAGCTTGAGCTGCTGAAGTGCCCGCTGGGCCTCAGGCTGCAGGGGGAAGGCAAGGCCCTGCAGTGTCTGGTGCTTGCTTTCCACGCTGATCTCTGTCTTCACCTGGGGGCAGGGCAATGGTGAGAGAAGCCTGTACCAGCCTGGCATGGCCACCATGGAGCATGGGCTCTCTGCACACCCACCTCATTGATACGGATCTGCTGGAGCTCTCTCTCAGCCGAAGTCAGAGGGGCAGGAGCAGCACAGGATGACAGGTGCTTCTGGTACCCAGCAAAGGAGAGGTCATCCTGCGGGACAGAACTCGAGGCATAAATGGGCACCTTGGCTTGCAGCTACTAGATTCCTAGCCTCCCATTTCACCAAGCCTGGCACTGGTGCTCTGTGACCTGCACAGTGTCCCACCCGCTGTGGGCCTGCGATCCTGGCGGCTACCTTTACCTACCTTCACCGTGCCAAAGAGCTCATCCTTAATGTGGCCGCCTCCAAATTCCTTCTTCACTGTGGCCCGTGTGGCAGCATAGAGCATCTTCAGCCGCACCTGGCAGGGTGGAGTGATGGGTGCCAAAATGTGAAGGCCCTGTGAAAGGGCGGCCTTTGCAGAAGCATGAAGGAGCCCTGCAAAGGGCCCAGTAACCACATTGTGCCCACAGAGCCAGCAGGGGGCGCAGCATGAAGCTGCAGTAGAGCGACACCGCCAGCAGGGGGAGCGCTCGGACACCCCACATCCCGGCTTTGGAAGGCTGTGCTCTAGAGAACCCAAGCTCCCCGCAAGTCACTCTCCCATGGGTAGGGTCTTGTTACCCTACACAACCGAAGCTCGCCTCCCCACGCCTTACTGGCCCTGAGCCTGGGGCTGGCAGGGGTCCCTATGACTCACAGGGGAATTATCAGGCGACCAGGCGAGGAAGAGCCACTCGAAACCCTGAGCGTTCTGTGAGTCGAGGCGGAAGAGCATGTAACAGGGCTGTTGGGCGTCCAGCAGCGGCAGCACAGCCCTGTCGTAGTCCTGGTCCCAGCGGCCCACGGGCGCCTGTGAGGCTCCCAGCACGAGCTGCTCTGGGGGCAGAGGCCGGGTGAGCTGGAGTAGCTGTCTTCCTCTGCCACCTCTGTCTGTGGCTCCAGGGCCAGCTCAGATCTGCTGGCCACCCCACCCCACGGTCACTGGAGTCCCCACCCCTTACAAGTGAAGCAGGGCCAGGCTGCTTTGTTACACAGCTGGCCCCCTCATCCCACCCACATGAACAGACCCTCCGCTAGGTGCCACACTGACCCCATCTACAGACGCAGCTGCTCTGCGCCACACCGCATTCTCTCCCCCTCTTAGCTCAGACTCTGCAGAACCCCGGGCCTCTCTCCTCCTCCTGGGGCAAACGTGTTGGGAGAGGAGGTGTTCTTAGAGAGGCCATGGGATCAGCAGGCGTGAACACCTCCAGGGAAGAGGTATCCTGCTGCCACACCACATCTGTATTCTGGGCTCCTAAAAGTCACAAATCAATGGCAGCCAATTTCTTAACACCTGAGCCTGACAGGTCTGTCACCCCCCAGCTTGAGCCAAGGGGCTGAAGGGGCACTAGGCCATATCTGTGGGCTGGGACCTCAGCTGGGCACTAAAGGCCTAGGCAAAAGGGAGCACAGGGTGAAGGGGCAGTCAGCTAGCTAGGGGGCCCAACACCTCACCAGCAGGCCCTCATGCTGGGCTTAGCAGTCAGGCTGTCCGGAGCCCTAAGCCAGACCCACTGGCCCAGCCACCACTGCCGGCCTGCCTCCTTGCCCACCACCCCAGAACTCACATGGGACCAGGGCTGAACGCCAGCAGCCACAGGCTAAGTGGGCCCCAAAGGCATCAGCAGTGGCATTAAACTTGCTGTTCATGTTTTCAAACCAGGAACTTTACGTAAGAAATAAAATTCAGCCAGGTTTAGGGGCATACACACCTGTAATCCTAACAATCAGGAGGCTGAGGGAGGAGGATCATACTTTGAAGCCAGTTTGGGCTACACAGCAAGACTATCTCAACAAACCAGGTTGGGTGTGGTGGCCCACACCTATAATCTCACCACTTGGGAGGCTGAGGCAGGAGAATACTGACAATTCGAGGCCATTCTAGGCTAACTAACACCACAGAGTTCAAGGTCAGCCTGAAATGAGACCCTGTCTCAAAGCAAAAAAGTGCAAATCAAACAAAAACAAAAAAACAGAAGTGGAATTCTTAGCTTCTCTGGAAACCTCAGGAGTTCCAGCCACACTCTGGATCCTTCCAGGTATCCCAACAGCTATAATACAGAACTGCTAAGAGCCCACCTAGAGATTCTTCCTGCTTTAAAATCTTACATCGTGAAAGGCATTGTGGCGCATGCCTGCCTAGTGCCAGGAAAGCTGAGGCCGGAGGGTCACCATGAGTGCAAGGCCAGTTTGGGCTACACAGTGAGTTCAAGGCCAGCCTGGACTACATAACAAGAGAGACCCTGTCTCAAAACAATAGTAAAAAATGGAAGACCTTACATCTTGTCTGGGTACTGGGGAAGGGCCGCTGGGGCAGAGGCGACATTCACCAGCGACCTACATCAGTGACCCCTACCAGACTAGGAAGGCATCTGCATGTGGGGACTCTGAACAAAGCCCAGCACTGCCATGGTTCTAAAACCTAAGCTAAGTCTTAGATCTAGGCAGCCCCTGCGAAGGGGAGCTGGGCACCAGGCCCGTGAGGGGCGGCCCCTAAAGAGCCCACCACAGTATGGCTACTGAGAAGGGCTGGACTCCTGGGGGCCTGACCAAGCCCAAGCCCTGAGTCCATAGCCTTCCCTGTCAGGGACAGCCCCTTGGCACACAAGAAATGGGGAAGGAGTCCTTTACTCCCAAGCCCTTAACTGAGTCCAATACTCCGCCTCAGCTGAAGCCCCTGTACCCTGCAGCCCCCTGTACAGCCCCAGGTCTCAGAGTCTAGCCCAAGGCCCCACCAAGCCCGACCCCTATGCTGTTCACAGACTTAGCTGGATACAAATTCCTTTGCTGCATCACAGGGATCTCCTAAGGGCGATCCTCCCCTTGGGCAGCAGCCAGGCTGCCAGTGTGGACAGGGGAAGGAGGTGATACTAGCTTGTGTGGCAGTGGTAGGACTCACTTGTCCCCAGTGCCCTGCCACCCAGCCTAGCACCCTGACTGGGCCCATCATGGCTCACCTTGCGCTGGTGGGAAGGTGGGCAGGGCAGGCCCGAGGACAGCCCTTCATGTGGCAAGGGGGCAACTATGCCCACTTTCAGTTCTCCCCTGAAGTTCCTCTTGTGAGTGGGATTACAACCACTCCCGTTAAAGAAACTGAGGTACTGAACTCAAACTTAACACCACCACCTGCCCCCAAAGCAACTGGGCCCAGCCTCAACCCCTGCCCCAGCTGTGGGGGCACTCACCATCCTCAATGACGACTTTGATGAGCCGCACAGAGCCAGCCCGTGCCTTGGCAAAGAATTCCTTCAGCTCCTCCGTGGCTAAAAGAACAAGAAACATGGTATACAGTGAGCAGGCAGAGTGGAAGGGATGAATCTAGGACCTGCTCTGTTCTGTGGGGTCTGGTGGCTGAGCTGGGAACAGGATTAAATACGCTCCCCCATGTGACTGGGAACCTGAGATGGCCACTGAATACAAGCTCCCAAATTTAGCCAGCAGAAGTGGAAGCGGGTGGCCTGCTGGCTGGGACAGCTCTGATGACAAGGAGTGGCAGGAGGAATGGCACAGCCCACCGGAAGATAGGCCAGGCTCTTGGGCAAGCCAGACTGTGACAGTGGATAGCTCCTGCTTGTCCCTTATACCCCGTGAAGGCCAGGCAATGGGCTGGCCTCAGACATTCCTAGCACTGTCACCTCCTTGGACAAAGGAACACAAAGTGCCCCTACTGCACACTGACCGCTAGGATAGAGCCACCACAGGCTGGCTCATCAAAGTTGGCATACTGCACGTGCCAACACATGCTAAATCCTGCGTGTGTGGATCTAAAATGTGTGTGAGACAGACAGGGGCATAAATACCAACCCTCATCCTAGAACACACACTCAACTGGTCAGACATAAGTGAACACACATGATGAGACGGGCAAACCCACACAGATACACCCTTGGCTTGCTAACAAACACACCAGCAGGCAGCTGAAAGTCTTGCTAGGACAACTGTCCTGGCCCGCAGACACCCAAATGGTACACAGACACGCATGACACACAGCTTCGGTCCCCAGCCCAGTTCTGCACCCTGAGGCCCTGAGATGCCTTCCTCAGTGCTGCCCTGCCACAGAGCAACATGCCTTTAGCTCTCAGGCACCACGAAAGGTTTCCTGGAGGAGTGGTGCCAGGAAGGAGAGTCCACCTTGAACCTTGGGCTCCATAGCTGGAAAGTGACAGCTAGTGACCAAGGTCTTCTGTCCGAAGTGAGAATCACAGCTGGAGCCAGGGAGCCACAGATGGTCTTGGATCTGCTAGTGGTGGTACACAGGGAAACTGTAGAGAAGGGGCTACTTGGGTCTCTGGGTGAGCAGGGCCACGTCAGCCTGACCTTGAGGCTGCCCAGGGGTCAGGAGAATCCCAGCAGGAACACAGCTGGAGGGCTGAGGTCAGAAAGTATTTATAGGGCTTGGATGGGGAAGCTCAAGGAGGGGGGCCTCTAGAAAAAACCTACTCTAGCCATGTCCTCAAGTGCCCCCCATAGTGACCCTGAGCCACAGCAAGGGCCCAAGTGAGCCAATCAGGATCACACAAGGGGACACAGCCCCTCTGGGTCAGGGCAGAACTTCCTCTCAGCAGACCCCAAGCAGATCCCAGTAAGTGTCCAGCCTCTGTGGACTCCACTTCTCCCCTAGCTGTGTGACCCCTGGTGTCCCTGAGTCTCCACCTCATCTATAATAGGGAGGAAATAGTCCAAACTCCACAGGGCTGTGGTGCAGAGGGGTAAAGTGCTCAGTGATGGGCCTTGATGGGTCACTTGAAGAGGGTGGAGGGCACGCTGTGTTCAGTGGCCTTTTCTACCTGATCAGACCTTGGGGGGCAGGGGCAGGAAGCTCCCCAGAGGGAGAGGCTGATGAGCCCTTTCTAGTGTTCCCAAGGCAAACTGACACCCAAGCAGGAGAAGAGACTTCCTAGCCTACCCCAATGCCTCCCCAGGCACCATCAATAATCCAGGGACCAGGCCTGGGATACTTGAGCCTACTTCATCAAAGATTCATGATCACCCCTGAAGCTGGCCCACCCTCCTGAGTCCAGTGGGCCTCAGGTTACAGTCCCTCCCCAGCACTGCTCTGAGGTCAGTAGCTCTATACCTATGGCCAGGACAAGGCTGGCTCCTGGGGCTCCAGGTTGAGCCCCCCTGGCCCCTCTCCAGGCCTGAGAAACAGGAAGGTGGGCTTGCACAGGCAGAAGGCCCGTGGGGGTTAGCACAGGTGGTAGTGTTCCCCCAGCCAGGCCTGTCAGCAGGGAAGAGTGGTGCTTAACTTCCCCAGGAACTCCTCCCAGCTAGAGACCCAGAAGCTATGAGTAGGCAAAGCGGAAGGAAGGGGCAGGCCTCACAATTTCCCCCGTGGGCCTGAGGTATAAAGTTTGCTGGAGTGAGCAGCGGCCCATGTTCTCTGGTCCTGCAGGGTGGAGGCAGGAGAACGGGTGGGGCTGGGGAAACCCTCTTTGGGCGGTGTAGCCACTAAGTGGCCACAACCACAAGCCTGGATCCAGATGGTCAGGCAGGTCGATGGATAGCTTGAGCCCTAGGAAAGGATGTGGTGGTACAGCGGCCAATGGTAAAACCACCAGGCTGCGTAGGCAACCAGTGTAGGCCTTCCCCAGGCTAGATGGCCCTCCCAGGCCTGTGACAGATGGGGACACTGAGGCCTGAGGAGGGCCAGGACACCTGGCTCCCAGCCAGTGCTTTTCTCTCAGCCTGTCCAGGACCTCAGGGAGGTCCCAGGGAGAGGGGATATGAGTGATGTACTGGGAGGCAGGAGCTTCCTGGGGACAAGGGTGGGGGTGGGAGCTGGCCTGGATTCTCTAGAGCCCTCCCCAACTAAGCCCTTATCTGGACCCTCTTTCCTGCTTCCAGAGTGGAGCTGGGACTTTCCAACCTTGGCTGTGGCCAACTCAGGATATCACAGTGGAAAATGGGAGGGAGGTCAGAGGTCAAGGTCAGGTTGGCAACTCTCCCCAGGATCTTAGAGGGCTCTCTCTTCCGTTTGCCCCAGCTGGCCGTGCAGGAGCACCAGTCTGGAGAAAAGCAAAGGTCCGGACCCTCTCCTCACACATGCACGAGCCCATACAAGTCATAAGGCACATCCCGTGCACGCATCCACGGTAACAAATGCACGCTGAGATGCGCCCCAACTGTGCACACACTGAGACTCCCACAGACATGTGCGCACTGCCACACGGTGGTGCTAAGATGGTCCCATGCCACCTACGGATCCAAACAGCCACTCGTTCGTACACTTGAATGACTCTAGATGTATATGATAAGTCACAACCAGATGTGCACATGCGTGTACAAGCTCCCAGATGTGCGCATCTGGGTATACCTAATCCCGGAAGGGAACGGCAGTACACACATAAGAAGGACACCTACAGGCATATCCACCCCCGGATGGGTACACCAATACTTCCACCCCAGCGGTGCACGAACATGTGCGCCCGTTCCTGGCTGTACACGGCACTCCCTGAGATGTGCACACCCCCCGGCGACTGGCGGCTGCAGAGAACAGGAAGCTTCCTCCCGGCTGATGCGAGGAGGAGGAAGGGGCCGACAGCCGAGCCCTGGGCCCCCTGCCCACCCGCTATACCCTCACCGTGGATTCCCGTCTGATGCGCCATGACTCGGCGACCCGTTCGCCCACGCCGTCGGAGCCGCCGTTTGGCCCTGGCCGGGCTACACTCGCTGGACCAGGAGGAGGAGGAGGATGTGGTGGCGGCCGGCAAGCCTAGAGCAGCTTCCCGGGCGGTGCCGCAGGACCCGCCCCCAGCGGCGCCCCGCCCCCGACGGGCACGGCGGGAGGGGCGGGGCTCGGGCGGCGCGTGCGCGGTGGGCTCTCGGGGGCTCGTGGCGTTTGTGACTGGCTTCTTTCTCCTGCACGCTCAGCTGCTGGGGAGAAGTCGTACGTGCAACTGGCTGTGCGGGGGCGCACAGCGTGGGCGTCGGAACACCCCCGACCTGGATGGTCTGTGACTGCCGCAGGCGCGAGCCTGTGCGCCCCCGGCCTGCCAGATTTGCTTGCAGTGGCGGACCTGCACTTACCCCAGTGTGGAACAGGAAGGGGCTTTGGGTTCTTGTGTGTGGGTGGATGTGCGCGATTGTGTGTGTGGACGGGAGGGTGTCTTCGTAATGGGACCTTTCCCCAGATCTTTTTGCGGGGATATGGATTTATCAGGGGTGTGTGGCAGGGAGCTCAGCAGATGGACAGTATCTCTACTCATGGAATAAAAGCGGTTTAAAGGAAGCAAAATTTTGGCAGGACAGTACGGGGTAACCCAGCTGAGCAGAGGGGAAAGTTCTGCGACAAGGGAATTATGTGTACAAAGGCCTAGAGGATAAAAGAAGTCCACAACTTTGTGAGTCTGAGGAACTTTCCAACTCTTATTAGATTTGTCTAGCAGCTTTATTTTGCTGGCATTAGTGAATATATGCTGCCACCAGCCAACATACCTGTCTTCAGCCCTCTGTGGACCTCACGTGCCCCATCAATCTCCCCCATGGACCTTGGATAGGAAGATTAGAAAGGAAGCTGCCTTTTAGGGCAGGGATTTCTGAGACATGATGATAGACTGTGTGGCCTGCTTGATACGTGGTACAAATTTGTATGTTACTCATTATTTTGTTTTGATTTTTTAGAGATTGGATCTATGGAGCCCAGGCTGGCCTCAAACTCATGGTGATCTTGCTGCATCAGCCTCTGGAGCACCAGGATTACAGGCATTTGGCGGTACACCTATGTTGTGTCATACTTTTTAGACACCGGGTACATTTATGCAATCATGATGATAGCCCCTGAGTGTCATTGTTTCCATCCCACAGTTTAAGAGTCCAAGGTTTGGAAGCACTAGGTGGCATGGTCATGGCTGTGCCCAGCACCCTCACTTTTCTTTACTCAAGAAGTAACGGAGACAAGTCTTGAGCTGTGACTCTTGTCTTCTCCATCCCTCACTGCCCAGAGAACAGGTTTTAAACACAGAAGGGGATCTCCTCAAGTACTGGAGCTTGAGCCCTGGGCTGAGCTTCATTCAGATCCTGGGACTTGGGCAAGAAGCATGGGGGCCAGTGAGTATCAAAACAGACTCCACCTCCTCTAAGATCTTGTTTCAGGCAGAAAGATGAGAAGGCTGCTTATATACAGCTCTTCAAACAAATCCAGGGATGAACACAGCAACCAGGTGGTGGTTGCAACATTCTGCCCTGGCAGCCAGCACTCTACTTCCTGCTTCTGTGGATTTACTTATTCAGGGTATTGCATACACAGTGTGCCCTTCTGCGTCTGGCAGCTTTCTCTTCACATACTGTTTGTAAGAGTCATCCATAGTTTAGCACAAACTGGTACTTCACTCCTTTTGATGGTGGAATGATATTCCATTGAATGCAGAGTCTGTACCACAATGTGTCCATCCATCTATTGACCCACATGGTTTATTTCTACCATCCGGCTCTTGTGAGTAGTGCTGCTGTGAACACTTGGTGCTTCTGACCCAACAATTTCTTATTAGGAACTGATCCTAACCAATATGTGCGCGTACAAAAAATTGGAAAGCAAGACATTGAAAACCACTGGGGAGATAGCTCAGTAGAGTAAGTGCTTGCTCGGCAAGCGTCAGCATCCTGAGTTCAATCTGCAGTACCACAAAACAAAAAACAACAACAAAAATCATTGAAAACCATCTAATTGGGGCCCGGGAGATGGCTCAGTAGAATAGGCACTTGCCTGGCAAACACAAGGGCCTGAGTTCAATCCCCAGTTCCACCAAAAAAAAGAGGAAGAAAAAGAAAACTGTCTAATTGTCCATCACTGGGGCCGAACTATATAAAGTCCATGCATTTGCAGAGAAACTCACGAAGAGCTGCTTATCAAAGACATAGATATCCAGAGGGATATTCTTACATGAAAGATCTTGGTGTAAAATACAGCCTAGATTATTATGTGTTTAATGTGAAAAAAATTTATGCACAGGTGGAGGGGTTCTTGAATTTTCATAAAATATTCTAGATATCTCTGGAAAGAACCCTAAGGAATTAGTAACATTGTGTGTCTCTAGGAAAAGCAGTTGGCTAGCTAGGGAATGAGGGATAGGGGAGACTTGCTGCTAGATATACATTTTTACCTTTTCATTTTTTTTTTAAATTTTATTCATTCATTTATGTGTCATGGCCAGCCCAGCCCACCAGGGAGTGGGGCTGGCTGGCATGTGCTGGGGGATTGAACCATGGTCCCCGTGATCTGCCAAGCTTGTTCTAAGTAGGTGCTTCAGACCACTGAGCCATCTCACCAGCCCCACCTTTTCAATTTTGAGTCATGTTGAAGTATTAAGTTAAAGTAAAACCAAGCTTTGTGTGTGTGGCATGCCTGTAATCTCAGCCCTTGAGAGGCTGAGGTAGGATGGTCTACAGCCTGGAATACAGCTAGACTCTGTCTAAAAACAAAGTAATGTATCTTGTTAGAGAACAGATATGTAGCTAAACTGAAGCTATTTTCATTGTAAATTTAAAACTATAGAATAAGGGCCAGGGACATCTTACCAGCACAGTGCCTGCCTGGCAAACATGAGGCCCTCAGTTAAATTCCCAGTACCAAAACAACCCCCCCGCCAAATGCAGAATAAAATCTTTTCATTGTTCTTATCTTTGAGTCCCTCTATACCCCTAACACTGATGAGAAGCTTCTAGCCGGAACAAGATAGTGCATGGGTCCCTGCAGCATTTGGGAAAAGAACCAGGGGCTGGGCCAAACAGGCAGCAACTTCTCATTCCCAACAAATTGAAGATACAGGATCTTGAACAAAGTTAAAACCCCAAAACCAGCCTATACCTGGAAGACAACTTACAGAAGTAATTGTTTCCTAAGAGTTCTAAATACTAGCAATAAAGCAACCTACTGTAGGCAATTTACAAGCATCACCCCGCACATCCAGTTCACCAAAGGCAAACCCAGGGTGCAACGAGGTGGGACAATCCAAAATCTACCTACTTGGCCTCTCTGAAGTGGTAACAGCAAAGCAATTGAATGAGGTATTAGAAAAAAAATCAGATCTGACACACCTTCTCAGAGAACTGCAGAGATGATCTCCACGATGAAAATCATATTTAGTGACTCTAGAGCAGATACAGACAAAACCCCAAAAAGTGAGAGGAGCTTAAAACTATGGAAGCCATGAATTCTCAGCATAGGAAAGAAATGGAATCCATAAGGCAGATTCAAGTAGATATCCAGGAAAACAAAAATCTCCATTGAAAGTATCTACAGCAGAGTGACAGGAACCCTGAAAAAGGCAGATGTAGTTATTCTATTTGCAGACAAAGTGAATTTCAGGCCAAGACTGATTAAGTGAGAAAAAGAAGACCATCACATCCTTGTAGAGGGAACAATCCAAGAGAAAGAGTTAGCAGTCAGAAATATATATGCCACAAATTCTACAAGAAATTTAGGGAAGCCCTAACACCACTACTTCTCAAACTCTTTAATGAAAGTAAAAGGGAAGCAGTACTCTGAAATTTACTCCTTGACTCAAAGCATTACTCTGATATCAAAATCGGAGAATGACCCATTTATTGAACATAGATACAAAAATCCTCAGTAAGATACTGGTGAACACAGTGCAACAACAAGATTATGCACCTTGACCAAGTGGGATTCATTCCAGGGATGCAGGGATAGTTAATCATATGTGAATCAATAAATGTAATATAACAATTAGCAGAGCCAAGGACAAAATCCATATGATCATCTCAATAGATGCAGAAAAAGCTTTTGACAAAGTTCAACATCCATTCATGATTAAAAAAAAAAAAAAAAACCTACAGAAAATTGGATAGGGGCTGGGGAGATGGTTCAGTAGAATAAGCGCTTCCATGGCAAGTGCAAGGGCCTGAGTTCAATCCCTGGTTCTACCAAAAAAAGAAAGAAAATTGGAATACATGGTCTTTATCGCAATCTAATAAAAGCCATAAAGAAGGATAAACTGGGAGGCAGGGGAGATGGCTCAGTAGAATAAGCGCTTACCTGACAAGCACAAGGGCCTGAGTTCAATCCCCAGTTCCAAAAAAAAAAAAAAAAAAAGGATAAACTAGAGATTTTTATAGTTAAATGGATGCAACTGAAGACATACTTATAAATGAAATACACCAGATGCACATGTGCAAACATTATATTGTCTCCCTAGTGTGAGAAGCTGAGTAAACAAAGTCATTTGTTTCCCATACAGGCCAGTCACAACACATTTAGGGTCTGAAAAAAATATATTAAAAAATGTACAATAGATATCGCAAAATGGGAAGAAAATGTTCAAAAAGAAGGAGACTTTGGGAGAAAAGACGAGAAAAGATATATAGATAGATATAATTTTATAAGCTATATATATATATATATATATATGATAGTTATAGTATTGATGTCTTAGTTTAGTGAAAAGAAATGCTAATATTGTTTGGACAATTAAATGCCTGTATCTTTCTTTTCTTAGGACAGGGTGTACAGGGTCTCACTGCGTAAATTGGACTCGTAGTGATCCTCCTGTTTACAGCCTCCCAAGTGCTGGGATTACAGGCACACGCGACCACACCAGGTCTCAACTCCCCAGGGGTGGGGCCAGCATGGTAGGTCAAGGGATTAACTTCCAGCCCCTGTGTCTGCCTAAGCAGGCGCTTTAATCTACTGAGCTACTTGGCCAGCCCAAAGGCCTGTATCTTGCACTCTGAGTGACTGAGTTAATGATAACTACATTAACTGAAAATGTCTTAGAACTCAAACTGTGTC